CCGCCTCCGAGATGGGGCTCTGGGTTGACAGACACGCGACGGTTTGCAGATCAAGATTTGGGGGGCCTTGGCTTAGTTCTGCTAGCACGCTGTAGAGACAGTGGTTAACCTACTGATGTCGAACAAGGTGCAGCTTATCCATTAGCCAACGCTACAACTTGGCAGCGATTCACTTGGTAGGTTTCAGCACAGAATCCGATGGCGAAGGACATGGTGATGAGTTTGCTGATGAGAATAGAAAAGGCTGCCAATCGTGACAACAGCAATAATGACAACAGTAGCCGTAGCGTGCTCGGATGGCATGACTACATGTTTCGATGCTTGCACCCAGAACAGTTGAACAAAGCCCTACTTCTATGCAATTTGAAGAGACATCTCGAGTGACGGACCATGCAGACGGACATGCACGTGTGCACTGCGCAAAAGTCGCAACCTCGCACGCACACAAAGGCACGCACTTCCCCGAATTCCCGTAGGCCTGACCCGCCCGCGCACAAGGCGTGCAGGAGCCAGGGCGGCTATCGCCGCAGCAGCGCTGCATGCCGCCCGGGAACGTGGCCTGGGCCTGCACTCCGGCCTTACAGGTCACGGACTGGAGAGTTTAGACTGAAAAGCAGATGCTCTTCTGTGTTGTGTGTTGGGCATTAATGCTAAGGTTGGCTCGATGTCTGAATTTGGCGAGGGTAAGGGCAGGTCAGAAGTGGGCTGCCCAGACGGAGGTGAACATGCGTTCGCTTTCGCTTGACTGCTAAGACCTAAGCCAACGCAAACTCAAGCCTGGCTGATAAATTTCACCACAACCACCCACATCTGTCTGTCCAGAACTATGAAGCCTCAAGATGCTGCAAGTCTCTTCCGCACAGAGCTGCGGGCTGCCACCACAGGAACAGCAGTGGTGAGCAAGGGGTGTGCCAGCTCCATGGCTATGAGTAGAAGCTACGATTGCAACTCTGTTGTCTAAACCCTCGCTTGAATCCTTTGGGTATCGGGCTTCGCGTTTGCTTAGAGCTTCTGGGAGTCTCGAAGCTTGGCAGCATTGGGTCCGACTGGTCGTAGTCTGCTTTTCATGACATGATCTGTGAAGTAGCCGTCTGCAGTAGTGGTTACCCTGACGGTGGGCAGAAAATCCCCATGCTTCATTACTCAGGCATACTTTCGGCCAACAGCCGCTTCTGAAGGGACCTCGGGCCTGAGCACAGCTGGGCCCCTGCAGGGCCCAAGGTTTCAGGTTTGAGCATGGAAGGGCTGCGTCCTGCCTGGGCCCCCTGGCAGCCACTTCCCTGCCACTTCCTCTATCTCCTGGAATAGTAATAGTCGAAACTGCACGGATCCACATGAACTCTGACGGAATTGTGATAAGCTTCAACTCGGGCAGCACCCGTCAAGATCCAGACCTGCATGCTTTTAAGACGTAGAAGGGTTGCCCCTTGAGGGGTCAAGACAGCTGTCATCTTTTCCTGACGGTGACTCAATGCCAACGAGCATAACTAGTCGACCTGCTTTGTCTTGGAAGAATGTAGTACGCAAACACTTCCGAGAACACGAGCAACCATTACTCCTTGTATCATGCTGACTGGACCCAGTCGGAAACCGCCACCGAAGACCAGCATCTAGATTCTATGCCATCCACCCCACTATGGCTAAACCCACCTAAGCCCCCCACCCTGCACTCGCCCCTGGTACCCGACCTCACCAACACGGTAGAAGGAAACCTCATACTCAAGCATTGACATCGTTAGAACACCTGCAGCTGCCCAAACTTACTCGCCTGCCGCGAAAAGGCCATCATGGTAGGCCTGGACTCGTTCTTGGAGCGCTCCACAGCATACCTCAAAGTGGGAGTTTTGGGATGTGCTGCTTCGGGTCGTGAAGGGATCTGCAAACAAGTTCATTTGAAGACGGAACCCCAGTTTCCAGTCCAGAAAAAACTCAACATCCACGAGTTACGTAGTCGGCAGTACACCTGGACGCCAGCATGTCTTCTGCTGAGGACTCTGGAACAAATTGATAAAACATCCTTTGTCAGGGCTTCAGTCTGGAACCATCGACGACAACTCGCACTTACCAAGCCTTTGCACTTCCAAGCGTGGTTGTTCGCAGAATGCAACCCTCCTCCCTCCCCGTTTCATGACGTCCTTCAGCTACGAGGTCCGCGCTTGTAGGCACCGGCTGTCTCATTGCCATCCGCCGGTCGCATCACCTAGGGCCAAGCCCTGATGCTCGGTACGAACACCAAGTCAAGTCGGGCTTCTAGTGGGTTGGTTTTGGCCCCACCATGGGCGCTGGCATCTAAAAGTCAAACTGCGATGGACGGCACCGCAAACTTCTAAACACATGTATATGTGAATAGTCTATCAAAGAAACCAAACATTAGACAGACTGTGTATGCATCGATTGCACATCTATTGTTGATGTGTTCATCTGTATATATCATTGTTACTGATACTAATCCTGTTTGCATTCATACCCACAAGTAGTAATACTAATACGAATAGTAATCGTATTGTAATTCTACATGTATATGTCTATACATATATATATATATATCTGTGTAGGCTTGTATATGTTGTAGTGATATCTATATGCACTTGTCAAACCATTAACCAAATAAATAAGAAATACATGCATGCACACATACGTCTATCCGCGTAAGTATGTGTCTATGAGTATATGTGTGTGTATATATATCTATTATATGTATATGTACATGTGCATATATATATATGTATAATGCACAATTATATTATATTGTATTTGTATTTGTATTTGTATTTGTATGTATGTATGTATGTATGTATGTATGTATATATATATAATATGTATATGTACGTGTGCAGCCCCCGAAGGACCACTTCTCGGGCCCCGCGCTGTCAGATCAGGAATGAGGCGCCTGCAAGGGCACAAATAGGGTGCGAGCTGGTTGGTTTGATCTGCCACAGATGGGGGGCCGTGATGGCTTGAAAGCTTTGGGATTTGGCCGTGTTGCAGTGTCGGCCTGGTGATGAAGTATGAAGCCTTCGTGGTTCATCACCAGGCCCACAACATCTCGCATCCCCGTCCACGCGCATCTATCGTTGATCGGCCGAAGACCCGAACGACAGTACGTCAAAACAAACCCAACAATATATCAGATGGTTCTTTGGCTGCACCTGGCAAGCCCCGGGTCGCCCACAACTTGCTATGAAACCACAGTTGCCTTCTGTTTGTTGTTCGATTTCTTGATGATGATGATGATGCTGCTGCTGCTGCTGCAGCTATTATTACTACTACTACTACTACTACTACTACTAGTATTACTACTACTACCGCGACGACAACGACGACGACGACGACCACTACCACCAGCATCACCTGCCACCACCATCACCTGGAGCACTCCTTCTGCTGCTGCTGCTGCTGCTGCTGCTACTTCTAATACTACTTCTGCTACTAGAAGCATGGCAACTGCCACAACAAATGAAGAATAACATGATGAGAGTTGGATCATCATCTTTGCAATGTGATTAGAAGTTCTATCATCACCATGGAAAAAAGCAGCGTCGTCTCTGCTATCCTTCCACCACCACATGCATCGCTAGCACGATCATGATAATAACGACACCTAACATTCAAAATATAAAGGTGTTGCAAACTATAGTGATGGCGAGTCTCACTACTGTTACTATTATTGATGCAGCAGCAAGAAATTTTTTGCTACTCATCAGCACCGACGTCGTCAAGACTATGGACGTCATTCTTGGCCATCGTTATCGTTATCGCCGTCGTCATCATCATCATCACGATCGTATGCTTTTGATGTTGCCAGAAGTTTCAGCAGAATCGATGAGGATGAAGCTTAACAGCAAGAGGGCAGTACCACTGGCGGTATGATCTTGACCGCGATGGTGATGATGCACGCACCAAGGCACAGAGATGGGAGGGTCTCGATCGGCTGGTGCGTTGGACCGTCCTCGCCTGCACAAGGCGTCCCGGCGTCGAAAACCCCGAGAAGCAACACATGTTGCGGTGATCTGAGTCTTAGGTTGCCAACAGTTTGGCGATTTCAGGTGCTAGCTTGGGTGCACTGTCGGCAAAACTTGCACCAACTGGCCAGCTTTGGTAGTATGTCTGAACAGCAAAGAAACCTCAACATACGAAATCTCTCATTGCCCTTAATGGTTGGGTTGACGTGGCTATCTAGCTGTATTCTCTGGGATCCAGAACGGCTTCCACGAACAAGGATCGCACCCACAGCAATCGAGTCGTGGGTGGTAACGAAGATGGTGCCAGCTTGGGAGAGGGCCGCAATACCTCGCCATGTATTCGACCAAGCTTGATTCTCACGGGAGGGTCTTACGTCAAGGCGACCAGAAGAATAGGCAGCTTCCAAATATTAAGCGAGAGCTGGAATTTTCGGAAAGGTCTGAGGATTTTGTAGATACAGCAGGCAGAGAAAAGGACATAGCTCCAGGATGTTGAGGGACTGCAGACACTCTCAAAACTCAAGCACCCAAATCAACTAAACAACTCCTGAGACTCAAAATTCTTTAGACCAGTTCAATGTCAAGGTCGATGATCTTGCAAAACCGTATTCTGTTCTAGATTTCAACGAACAACTCCATGGCAACAGCTAGGTGCGAGCCTGTGTTTCCAAAGCTGCTGGTGTGCTCTCGAAAAACCGAGTGCTGCCACGGACGTTCTATTTGGGTCCAACCATCCTATACTTCGGGCTAGCGGGCGCGAAGGAGGAAACAGTTTGACCAGCTTCCTTACCATTTCGAACTGTCATCCAGTTGGTGTTGCAGGTCAACGCGCCGTGGACATGGAAATGCAAGAAGCACAGGGCACCGCCAGATTCCATTTTCTGCTGGAACAAGAGTTTGTCAAGATGAAGCTACTGTGCAAACAGAAAGTTCTGAGAGGAACAGCACAAATGCCCCCTCGCAACTATGTTGGATCTACACGGCGGCTTCGTTCTGCTCCCAAATTCTGCTTTTGCCCGCTATCGGCAACTACGGCGATCAAGCTATAGAAACGCCCTTGCTGCTGACCCGTGACAAATGGCGAGAACTACGACGTCGTACTCTTACGCGCTGCAGCTTGCCTGTGTATGCATGCACATAGGTACGTCCTCTTATGCGACTATTGGTGCAGTGCCGCTTCTTGATACTACTGCGACGAGACACGCACCAAGACCAAACGCTGGTCAAACATAAGCATGCTAAGGGGCGGATGGCAGAGCGCATGTAGTCGGTGAAGATGGTGAAGGTGGCGCAGTAAGGAATGATGCCTGCAAGGGAGCTCCGACTCCGGCAAGGCACCTTCTCCAGCTTCTACGGGTAATGGAAGGAGGAAAACTAGAGGAGCAGGAGCACTTACGTAGCCGTACCCCGGATTCTCCAAGGGTGCCGTAGACTGCCGTGACGATTCTCGATGTGCAGACTTCTCGCTCCCTGCCGCAAAGCCCACAGGATAGGTATTTCAACGCCATGCCCTCTGTCAGACACAAGTACTCTGACGCAGAAATCCACAACCCGATCTGTCCTGTCTTGTCCAGAGACAAGGCATTGCAGACGGCACCCATGCCGAACTCACGGATGCCGAAGCGGAAGTTCCTACCAGAAGCGTCGTTACGTGCTGTTAGAGGGCAGGGCGTAGATGTTGGTTCAAGATCAAGATTTGGGGATCACAGCGATGAAAGCTTCGGTGATGGTGATGGAAAGGATGACTGCACTGACATTTAGCGTCCTTTGCCTGCGGTAAGTCTACTTGGTTGGAGACCTTCACTCCCTTTAAAAAAAGGCCCCGAGCTCCAAACCCAAACCCCAGAACTTGCCGCATCGGGCCCTCTTCATGGGCAGGAAGAGCTGCAAAGGTGGCCACTTCGAAGTCTCTTCCACATACAACTGGTGATCTGTTGTTGAATGCATGCCACTGCGTGGCAGAGTGCCCACTGTGATGGCCATGTACTGCGTCCTCTCGGAGTAGCTGTCTTTCAGGAAGTCGCCAGTGCACTTCCTCGACGGGTTCTGGAAGGGGAGACCAGCCAGAACCAAAAAGGAGGCAAGCAAGTGGAAGGCAGTCAGTTCAATGTTGTCAGCAGAAGAGCTTGTCAAAGTACCATGCTGTGTGAGTGACGGTGTTGGATGTGAGGTTTCATGCTGGCTTTCAAATTGACTCACTGCCCAAGCTGACACAGCTGAGACTTCAGCAGATTTGATGCTACCTTGTGTTTGATGATTTGGGGACGGTGGGCCGCCTGCGTGCAAAGTAGAGGACACTGGCGGTGTCAACGGGGTTGCTCTCTTGAAACTCTTCGAAGGAGTGCAGCATGCCAATGCTGGACTTGATCCGTCTTCAACGAATTCCAGCGGTTGCAACGAGTCGGCCCATCTCCAAGATCATGCAACTGAAGACATCAACCATGTTGGAGAAGGTTGCTAAGGGTCAAAGAGGATGACGAGATATCGGGAAACTAGGGATTCAGGCTTGGTTCGTGTCATGGTGGATGCTGTTGAGCTTGGTGACTCTGCTTGCAGCTGCTATGCGTTTAGGTGGCAATCGACACTGCATTGGGACAGGGAGGGGTCATCTGACCTCAGCCTCAGACTCAGGCCAAGCGTCATCAGTGTCATGTTGGAAGGCGCCAAGTCGGCAGAGCCACCCATGAACTCCGGCAGGACCGGGGCGATGGCGTTGAGGCAGTCCTGGAGAGGAAGTGCAAGTGGCTTTCTCGCAGAATGTCATGATTTCTGTATTGTGAAGTTGTTGTCGAGACGCCACCAAGCTTCTAGGTGACCCAGGTGTCTGTATATTGGAGACATGGGAGAAGCCATCTCGATGCCGAGGGCTTCCGGTACTGGGCTTGATGTATTGTGGTTGAGGGACTGGGGTTGCAGAGTTTTCAGTAGGGAAGCCCGTTCCTTAGAGCCGCATAAAGGCCACCTAATATGCTAGTGGCACAAGACCCGTACAACACACATCGATCCGTTCGACGTGACAGCTGTTGGCATTGGTTTAAAGTCTCGATGTCGTCTCTGTCAGTATATGGGGCCTGTAGGGTGTAGACCACGACGTTCCAACATCTCCCGGAAAACAAACAAACAAACAAACAAACACAAGCATCTGAAGCCGTCCGTCCTGGGAGTGCAGGCGGGTGGCCTGTCAGGGACATGTCTTTGAGGTTGGGATTATTTTGCTAAATGTTTGCAGAGCCAAAGGCTCAAGGATCCTCGATACAAGCTCCTGTCCTTTCTTCTGGTTCCCCTTGGACCCCAGGCCTACATTCCCAACTGAAAGCGCGGCTCCCAAGCTTGATAGCAATGCTTCACAGCCACACGTGTCTCCCAATCCAAGCTACTCAGCCTTGAATGGTTTAGGGTAAAGGGTTTACGGGTGCACGAAGCCTCCAAAGCCTTAGACCAATTCCTAAACTCTGAAAGTATACTAGGCAGCGCAGAATTTTAACACCAAATCATATGCTTCGAGTGAAGCAGGAAACCGAAGTCCAACCGAGCCGTTGTCCTTGTCCGACTCATCCTTGCCCTACAAACCCTGAAGGCACTCAGCACGGTCGGGGTTTGGGGATTTACGTCTCAGTGGAAGGGTCCTGGCTGCCTTCGTCTTGCAAGGGCCTGGCATATGCTTCGGGGACCTCTCAAACCCGAAACCCCAAGCCCAACCGAGCCCAAAGCACTTCAGACATCTTCATCAGAAATCGATCACAATCAGCGTCGCAGTAAGTCTCCTGATGGCCTTGCCCTTGTCTTCCGTGGTCAGCTTGGGGAGACACCCATCCCAGTTGTCGGGCAGCGTCCTCTTAAGTACCTGCGGGAATGCAGCATTCTGTGAACTCTCTGAACTCATTGAACCACGGGGACCCTTGCAGCCGGGGAGCCTGAAAGGATTTCGGCTGTTCCCTGTTGTTGTGGATTTCTTGCGTAGGCCCTTGACACATGCAAGGTGTGTCTATGTGTGTGGGATGGGAATTAAAACCACATCTTGGGGCTTAGGATTAAAGATGCCGGCATTGCAGTTTGGGTTCAACTTGTTCAGGCCTTGACCCTGCATGCAGATGAGGTTGTTGTTGCACACTGTTGGCGCTGAAACCTAAGAAGTCTATCCCTCAGTCCTGTTCAAGCCAAACATGAAAGACGAGAGCGGGCATCCCTGAAGCCTGCTCTAAACTGCAAGACAAGCCCAGAGGCCCTGAATCCTACGAGTACATGCCGTAGTGTTGCGCTCCCACCTGAATCTTGGTCGGGGCACTGCGCGCTCAAACTGCGCAGCAAGCTCAGGCTCCTTCTCCTCTCCAGTTCGGGAATCGGTTTTCGGGTTCCGGCTTGCGACGATAACTAGGCTTTCCCCACCTAAAACCCTTACAGCAAGCCGAAACTTGAAGCGGTTTCGACTGTAAGCTACAGCGGTGCGTGCTTAAAGGTGTGGGCTCGGTGGCAAGGGATCACCAGCGTACAACTCTGTCCCCGTGACCAGAGGCTCGAGGGGTGCAGCACTTCATAGAAGGGGGGCTGAATGTGTTTTTCCGGGTGACAGGCCAAGCAACAACTACTGGTGAGAATGAAGAATAAGGATAACAATAACAACACACGATATGCACTCACAAGCAAGTGCATCATTATGACGTTGACTACCAAAGTCCCACGACTACCAGGCCACCAAGACCACCGGCATCTGTCATGTTCGTGCCCACGACCTTCAAGAACACAATCTCGGATCTGGACTGCTGATCAGACGCTCTATGCGCCAAAATCCGGAAGCCGACGTGGCTGGTGCTCCTTGTAGGCAGCGAACATCTTGTCCCACTCCGCCTGCCTAGGGGCCAGGAGCGCTCGTGAAGCTGCATGGAGGACTGTGTCTGGAGGGTCAGTCACTCTCGGGGTGTGTACCAGTTGCAGAAAGCCTGCAGACCCTCCTTTTCCCGAGTCTACTCTCAAGTCCCGGACCAGTGAACTCAGTGAGTCGAAGAGTGAGGCTAGGCCGCGAAGCTGTTTATTACGCTCTCCCCGATCCGGTCCCAACTCCGATCCCAGAAAAGCCGTAACCTGAACCTTGCCAACCTTGCAGCATTCCGCGCCGAGGCACTTTTCAGAGCCCGCATCGGCCTGCTTCTTGAAAGCCGCATAGACGTGCTCTGGGACCTTCCACAAGTACCGATGAACAAGACAGAGCATAAAAGCAGAATACGACGTAGAGCATAAAAGCAGAATGCGACGAAGATGCCAAGGTCCAAAAGTCACGACAGGGATATGGATCGCGACCCGGGCGCACCCCAAAATCCAGTGACTGTGCACCGGACAAGACTCCCAAGACGGTCAGACACACCTTCCACGAGACGAGCGAGCGTATAGTGGTGGGTGGTGGGCTCCAGCCTGCAGAGAGGCTCTGCACGAGTCCACGACGACGGCGGCGACGACCACAACAACAACAACAACAACACCAACCCCTCCTCCTACTACATCTACAACTACGACTAGGACTAGGACTAGGACCAGGACTAGGACTAGGAGGACTACTACTACTACTACTACTACTAGTACTAGTACTAGTACTACTACTACTACTACTACTACTACTACTGCTACTTACTAACTACTACTGTCTACTACAACTGTCTACTACAACTGTCTACTACTACTACT